TTTTCTTTTTTTGTGGGGGGGGGGGGAGGCACATATTATTTTAAACAAAAGTGCCTTTTATCCCAGGGCTGTATCCCAGGGCCATCCCTGTTTTGTATCCCATTAGAATAATTTCAGTGACTCTTTAGCTATTAGTGTAAGCTCTGATCATTTCCATCTTTCCACTTAAAAATTATGTAACGGTCTACATCGTCATATGCTGTGCCAGCTTTAGGATAACATTAGAATAAACCCTCAGTGTGAGAGCTGCATGTTAATTTTTTAAATTTCTTACAAGAATTTATGATGATTTAGTAAAATTTTAAATCGTAGCACATTTTTCAGATCACAATTTGGACTTGGTTATGTGACTATTTCCCAATCCTACAAAAACTGTATGGCAAAGTAGTTTTTTTGTATTATTTTAAGGGAAAGCCTGAGGGACCTTACTGAAGACTTTTTGAAGAATAATTTAACTTATAATATATATTATGGCAACAGTGAGAAAAGCAGTTTCCACCTTAATAAAAGAAAGAGTAATTGATATCAAATTGATCCCCTTGTGGAATCCTCCAAATCAGAGCTCAGAATTATTCCCAAGCCAGAGTTGAGATGGGAACCACTACACCTGAATTCTGTGCTAATTTGGCTCTGCAGTTTTGTTTTTTTGTCTTCTTGCAGGGCCTCTGTTCCCCAGGAAGCTGGGCAGGATGTGGGTGGGAAAGCCGTTTTCCATTGCCCATGACTGCCCACGTATTTGCAGTTTTGATGTCCTTTGCTACATAGACAGTCAACATGCTGTTGCTTCCCCCACTATGTCCTGTGGGAACAAAGCTAGGGACACACTCTCAGAGGCTTGGGCAGACCCTTCCTGCCCAGCTTTTCTGTCTCCTAAGGATGCTCCCCTGACATTCAGAGCATCACTCTCTGTTCTCCCCTCATCAAACCCAGCCCTGTTCCCCAAGCAGTCCTGTCCGTCTACCCTCACATATTATGTTTATTGTCTCTCTAGCCCTTCGTGCATTCTAGTTTCCGCACACAAATTTAACCTCATTACCCTCAGTTTTTCTAGAACACGCAAGTGATTATTCCCAGTTATGTGCAGGTGTCAGCCAATGCCGCCCAAAGGAATTGCATTCTTTAGGGAAATCTAAGGTCAAAATGCAATGCCATTAGGAAGTCACACATCCATAGAGATATCTACAAAGCTATGTCCTGGGTGAAGACAGCCATATTTAATTTTTAAAACGTTATCGACGGAGAGCTGTGTCTAGATGCTGGCTCTGCCACCTGCTGCCGTGGGACTTTGACACCTTACCTCACTTTCTCTGAACTGGACTTTTTTCATGTACAAAATTTCCATGACAATCAGACTGCACAGAATTAAGACATAAAAAGTGAAGTGATGTGTGCAAACATCACCTAGCTTGACATATCGTGGGATGGTTCCTGACACTAGACATTTGATTATTTGATCTCCACTCCTTCAGAATGAGGGTGGAACCTTCTTTTGCATTGCTAAGCAATAACACAGATGTCACTGGAATTATTATTTAAAGAGCAAATTGATCAGCAACATGAATTTTGACACCTGCATTTTTCAGAAAAACATACAGAAATCCAATAAAAGCAGAAAGCTCTTTACAGCTCCATACTGACTGGTAATTTGGGATCCATTTTTAATTACTCCTCCAGTTTTAGAAATCATAGAGCTCTGACTCAAAACTTGACCCTGAGACCCAGAGTTTAATTTGTCAATCAATTATTCTCTGCTTTCATATCCAGTGCGAATAGTATGGGGACATGTGATTAATTGTGGAAGGCCCTGCCTTGGGCATACCAGGGAGGACATTAAGAATTCCACTTGTGCTAATGTGGGCGAGAGTGATGCAGAGCTGAGTGTCAGTATTTACTTGGGATAAATCATCAGCATTTTCAAAAAGAAGCAGAGCAGAGATTAGGTAGAAGGAGAGAAAAACTAGTATAATAATGAGCTTATTTCCCAGATTCACATGAAAAATTCACTAATCTAGAAATGGTGAAGAATTGTGCCAGCCATCCTTATAGACTCAATGTCTAATATAAATAGACATTTGAGCAGTTTACAGAACTGATTACAATTTTGTGTCTGCTTGAAAGGAATCCGTAGTCAAAGTCAGAGTATAAATCCTGTTGATGCTTCTGTGAAGTCTTATGATTTGAAGCTTGGATAACACTGCCGACTTCAATTAAATGATGTAAAAATATAAAATAATAATTGTCAACATTTATTGTTTTTCCTCAGAAAAGCACTATCCTAGGCACAGGTTGAAGTTTCATTGTTTATTGATGCTCTTGCAAGTAAAGAAATATTAGCACATTCACAGCAAACATTCAATTAGGACTTCTCTGCCCAAAACAGTTCTTAAACTAACGTCCTCACCCCTCAGTGCCACGGGGCCTGGAATTTTAAATTATGTTGTTAGGTCACTGATCATCTTAAAAAGGAAAAATTTATCACTTGCTAGTGAAAGAGATAAAAACAGAATCAATAATAAATAAATAAAAATAGATTAAATAAATAAAATTGAAAAATAAAACACACACAACGTTTACTTTTACAGGGGATAATTCACAACTGAAATATTTGTTTAGAAAACAAGTCTTCTGTTCCATAAGTAGTTTCTCAGTTTCTATAAAGATTCTTGGACATATTCTCCCAGAATATGGAGATCTTGATATAAATCTCTGATATAGATCCTTGGACATATTATTGGGTCCATAGTCTCAGTTGCATCAGTATAGTTGTGGGTCCACTGAGATATTCTCAGCGTCTGTAAGAACAACTGACGTCTCAGGTCCTCTTCCCAGGACTGCTCAATCATTGAGAACTTGCACATTTTTTATTGCTGCAAGACCACAAAAGATTATTTGCCAATCAAGCTTTTTGTTTTTGAACACAAGACAGCTAATTCGGAATTCTAAAACGTTTGTGAAATCCTGCTACCATTTTACTTGCTGAGAATATAATCCGAGCCAAGCCATGGGGAAGAGAACACACACAAATGCAATCTATTATTTTTCCAATTGTTATTTTCATCCTGCTGGCAGAAGGTAGTTTCAGCCCTGATCCTTTTCCACAAAAGAAAACATTACATATATCTAAATAGCGACGGTTGCGTTTAAGTGCAAATATTTACTGAATACATCACAAATGCACATAGCTCTGTGGGAGGAAGTCCAGCAGGAGCCGTAATATGTGATCTTTGGTCCCTCTCTGCCATGGTTAATGATCTGTTTAGCAGGACATCTGAAAGTGGAGCTAAGAGCAAGAGAAAGATAAACAGACATCAGGATATTTGATTCCTCTGGCCAGCCATATCTTGAGCCATACATCCTCTTGAAAGCATGGATGGTGTGTTCTCAGATGATAATGTAACTGCACCCTGGTTCACCTTAAAGCTGATGGACTCTGTGTGTGTGTGTGTGTGTGTGTGTGTGCGCGCGTGTGCACGCACGTGTGTGTATTTGCCTAACCACCAGCAGTGCTGCCCTTTGGGAGACACTGAAGGCTTTGTGTGCTGTGAGAAAGCCTGTCAATTAATCGGTATCAATACTGCTTAGGATTCCAGAGTCCTGCAGCATTTGGCAGGGCTGTGATGTGCTCTGTGCAGTGGCGGATACACCGGCAACACAACAGACCAGGATGTCCTGGGAGGCCTTCCACCACGTGGATGTCAAAGCTTCCTCTGCTGCAGTGATTCTCACACAGGTTCCTAGGAAGTCCAAGGGCTCCTAGGGGGCCTCAGATTTGCCCAGTGGTAATGGGGAGGGCCCCTGAAGGGCTCCCTCCCAGCTCTGCTTCAGGAGGAGCCACTCCACTTCCACTGTGTTATGCATGGGTCTCCCACATGACACTTAAAAGGATTTGTCCACTTTAAAGAGTGTTTGGAAACCACTGCTCTAATGGGTGCAAAGGCCAGACATACTGGAGCCAGCTGGAAACCAGAAGAGAAAAGGGGCCTCATGCATTGCTTGGCCATGACGACAACTGCTATTGTGAAGGTGTCCCTGCAGCATCATGTCACCTGCTCATGGCTCAGAAAAGCCACTACGGAGCCTGGGGCTCAGGTGGACCTGGCTGTCACGGCGGGCCACACATACACACACACTGATGTGTGCACCACACCACACACAGCACAGACATCACATACACACCACAAACCACACATGCACACGCACACACTATACACACACTCACACATACCACACACACACCACGCACGCTACACATGCAGACATACTCTACACATACGTCACACACACATCACACAAATCACAAAACACACACCACATACACTGCACACACCACACAAGCCACAAACCGCACACACACATACCCCTGCCTGTGGCTGATCTCTAAGACCAGAAAAATGATGATAACAGAAACGAAGCCGACCAGAGTGTCTGTGAGGCACTTATTAGACTTTTGTCTCACTTCAGATTGTGGCAATATTTTTACAGAACCATAAGGTTGATGTTTCACATTAAGATACACTCTTAGGTGGCTTGACTATGTGGACCCATTCTCAGTGCTGTGTAGCAAATCATCACAAACGTAGCACCTTAAAACAATACAAATTCATTATCTGA